GTTATTGATAAGTGCACTGCTTCTTGCTTTTTCAGCAATAATTCTTTTTAAAATTTTCATTATTTGGTCAAGCATTTTAATTCCCCAAAATGAGCTCTTTTAAAATGTGTACATAAAATAAGTGTGAAAGTAGAAAAACAGCTAAAAAAGGTACTCATAGACTTCTTGGGACCTAATATAAATTTTGATACATTAATATAAGAAGATAAAATATTTCAAAGAAATTAATATTTTCCATTGCGTATCTAATAAAATTTCGAACTTTTGTTATGGTGGTACACATAGGCTTGCGCACAGAACAACAATCAATACTATTTGATGTTTTTAAATGGCATTTTCAAATCTGTAATGTTTCTGCATAGTTTTTTTTTTTTTTTTTTTTCTTTTTAATGCTGGGCAGTTTAAAGGATTAGCTATTTTAGACAACTTTTAGGTCATTTTTTTTATACCATCTCATAGGCAGTTGGCTATAATGACTTGATGATAAATCAGGCCTGAACACATCTCTACTATCATGTGATTTAGTAGGAGGTAAAAGATGTTTTTGTTAACATGCTTTTACAAAAAGTGTGGGCTAAGAAATATAGGGTGCTGATATTTTGACATACCTGCTAATAGCCAAATCAAAGCTTTTTTAGCAAACCAATAATTTTTTGTGTATTAAAATTTATTATCTGCTTATCCTATATATTTGGAATTATAATAGACAGCACCAGGAATTTGCAGATGATCATACTTCATATATGTTCATCATCTTCAATAATTCAGAAATATTTAGAAATATAGTTGTCATACAACGTTCTTCAGTGGGTTCTTGCTTTTTTTTAAATTTCAGAACAGTTAGGCATTTCATGTGATTTGAAAGCTTGAAAAACATGTTTATATCAAACTTTTATGACAAAACAATGAGAAAATCCTTATATTTTTGTGCTTCCCTTAGTGAGAGGCTCGGATTATTCAAAAAGCTGTGAACCTGTTTACTTACTAGTTTTATATCTTGAAAAACCTCCTTTCTTCCATAACCAGATTTGCATTTAATTGATTTTGTTTAGGAAAAACATTAAACAACATAACTAACGATGTAGAAATGTATTTCGTCAATTTTTAAAACTTATTTTAAGTTAAATGGGTAAAATAAAATCTTTTTTGAAATCATTAAATGTTTCCACCAAACTACAAACACAATGAAAAATATATTAATACAACCACTGAAAAAAAAATTTACTCTTTCACATTTATTTCATGTACTCACTTTATAAATTTTTACCATCCAACTTTTCTTCAAATTATTTGGGTTTTTCTTAAACACTTAAAAATTCTTGTATGATAAACAAATCCAAACTGAAAAGTTGGATAACATTTTGATATTTAACATTTGATATTTAACATTTTGATATTTATATTTAGAAATATATAGTCAAAAATATACAGTTACTTATTTATAAATATTTTTTACGTAGTTTAAAATCACAATATTTTTAAAGATTGTATGTTCATATTGATCTCAAAGGAGGATGTTTTTTAAAAAAAAGTTTCGGCAAGTCAAGGTTGGATAAAAAAATACTCTTATCACCTCAAAATGGGAATTTGATTATGAGTTTTACAGTATTTTTTATATTTGTACTAGATATTTACTTTGTTTATGTTTAGATAAAAATAACATTTATAAGCTGAACTATCCAGTCCTTGTGGATTTAAATCAAGTTTATCGTAACTATACAGATAAGGATATTCTTGAAGGAATATATCAAAACATTTCTGATGCATTTGATGCTCATCTAGCTACTCGACAGAGCAAAAATCTATGGTCTTCACAGTTTGAAATGCCTGTTTACCCATGGTTACTTCCTTGTGCTAATTTTCCATATTGTGAGAGTGTAAATAATGCAGATAGCGACAATTTTTCTGACCTAATAAAAACTAAAATTAAGTTATAGTATGAGGTTTAATCTCTGTTTTTCTGTCCGCTTTAATAATTATAGAAAAAAATAGTATTGTATAATTTTTTTTTTAATTTTTTTTTTGCATTTTTTTTATTTATTGTATTTTTAAGGTAGTTTAAACCCCCTAAGGAAATTTTTAGATTACTATCATTAAAAAACTACACAGGAGTTAAAGCAGTTTCAAAAATTTCCTGCTGATTTTACATAAGTTATATTATAAATTTTAAATAAAGAGGGCAATTTTCATGTGAAAACAACCAATTTTTTTTATAAAATGCAACCTTAAGTCTCCAATTTTGCTGATTTTTACAACATTCATAGATTTTAATAAGTTATGAACGTTCCCAAAATTTAATCATATAATTTCAAAGATATGGCTATTCAAATTTTGCCTTGAACCAACAAAAATATGTCATTTTGAAAAATGGATTTGGTCTTTGTTTCTGTTCTGTGTGCAATTGAAAACTGAAAATGTGTACAATTACATATTCTGAGGCAAGGAACCCAATAAAACAACTTGAAATATTTCAAAATAAATATAACACCTGTAGTTTTGACTTTAATCACAATTTTACTGGGGCGAGTTTTATTACAAAAATTCTGATGTAGTTCGATTTTTTTTTTTAGATGTCATCCTAAATAGTTAAAAAATTTTTAAAGAATTGGAGAGTTGTCTTTTCTTAAACAGAAAAAAAATCATAGTCAAATTTACTTAAATTTGTTACTTATAAAATATATAAAACAGAAATTATAAAAAATCAAAGGAAAAAAATGGTAAAAAACTCTTAAGAGCTCTTAAGAGCCCTCTTCCCCTCAATTTTTAAAATTTTACTCAAGGAAACGGAGTCCCAAAAACAACTCTGGTTTAAACTTCTACTTTGTCTGAACGGACTAAAAGTTCTATTATAGATACTAAAAACTAGGTAAAGGTTTTTAGAACTTTAAAAGCTCTAAAAATATAAAAAAGCTTATGGGCTACTAATGGGAAAAAAATTAAAACTTTAAGTTTTTGAACCTGAAGTCCTTAGGTATAATGGTGACAAATACTCTGGGCTTAAAAATAATAAGTTACAAGTTATTAAATCTTATGAATCTTTTTTTTTGCAGAAGTTGACGAACATGTTTAGAACTTCTGGACACCAGAGACCAGGAAAAAATAGAGATATGAAGCCAGAGTCTTTTTAGGAGTCTGCGTCCCTGATTTTACTTGTTATGAAAAAAGAAACTCTCAAAACCAAAGTAAAATAATTTTTAGGTGTTTTTTTTTCAATTTTGTGACGGTTTTAGGTCTTAAATATAAGAAAGTATAAACTCTCTTATTGAAATAAAAATTCCTACCCTCCTAATTATATCTTCCCTCATTTATTACGTTTGGACAAAAACTTGATTTGTCTATTGATTGAAAGAGTTTAACAAGTTTATTAAGCTAAAAGTTAAGTGCAAGTGACCAGTATGTTTTATAATCATTTCTCTTCCCTTATTTACAACTTCCTCTACAACTCTAAATACAATTGAAAAAAATAGCACCAAATTAGAAATATTACCTCCTGAATTAGCGATAAGAATCACCACTATGTTGCCTAACTGGAAGTCCCTCGCCTATAGCTGAGAGAACTATTTTCTTTAAAATATTTTTAGGCTAAAAAAACAAACAGAGGTAGATTGTTTATATCTGTTGTTACATTCTGACTATCTGATATAGATGTATATGAAACATAATCTAAAAGATTTATTAATTACATATTAACTATCTTTTAGATTCAGTTTTATAAATTATTAAATAAATAAAATAAGAAAATGAATGCTCCATCATATAAAGCATGTTGTGGCACGTACAATGTAAAAAACGATAAAATAACGAAATGCAGAAAGTGATGGTAAACAACTTTATTAAATATTGATGTTTTTATATTAATAATTGTCTAAAACACTTTTGGTCATTAGTCAATAAAATTAAACTGTTTTTTATTCATTAAAATTAATTTAGTAAATCAAAACTTGTTTAGTATAGTAATAAAAATTTAATAAAATACTTAAAAAATTAAATAAAAAAGTTAGATAATGATTCTACATTTCCTCATTAAATTTATCTACTAATAATGTACATTTGATGTTTTTTATTTCTGTTTTAGAACAACCACAATCCAGTTCATTGTGATAGCTAAATTATTCAAGACAACTTTTTTTTATCTGCATTTTTACAATTCAACTCACCCTCTGTAATGTTTTATTAAATTTTTGAAATTTAGGATTAAGTTTGTTAAATTACCAAGAAAATAGAAAAAGCAAGTCAGCAACAGCTAAAGAAAACAATTTAATATGGTCAAAGCTGTTTCAGTTTCATTACTGTTAAGTTACTCTCAGGTGCTTAAAACAATGAAGGGTGTGAATAAAAAGATGGATGGGAATTTTTATCGTTGTAAAAATCAGCAAAATAAAAGACTTAAGGTGTTGCATGCCTGGATGTTTTTAAATGGAATTGCCTCAGACCTAGAAATCATTAGGGAACAAAATTAAAATAAAAAAGATTTGATTTGCACTAGATTATAATAAGTTTAGAAGAAAAAAAAGATTTGAGATTAACATAATGACGAATTTTGTCTAATATACCATTTGATTTTAATTTGAAAAAAAAAATTGAATCAATTTTTAATTCCAAGATACTTTATAGATGTTTATTTATTTAAAGTTCTCTTAATCCAAAGATGAAGATTTCAGTTAAATTTTTATTTATTTATTTGATAGTTATAGTAAAGCCATTAAATTAAATTATATAGATGATCATGATTTATGCAAGATAAAATATGGAACACTATTTGAACCTCAACTTTTCTTATTTTGTATACCTTTTTTTTTAAGATTAGAGACCTTGTTTTCAATCACAAGATCAGTTTAAAAGAGGAGTTATTATTTGAGTTATTTAAGTTTTGTAATATATTTATTTTTTAAGCTTTTTCACTCATCACTTAAAAAAAATTATGAAAAGTAACAAAAAAAAATTAAAAACAATTTCACTAAAAGCGAAATTAAAAAGAAAATAAGGAAAAACAAATTCCGGATTTTTTCCGGATGTTTTTTCCAAACCATTTTCCGGATTTTTAAAATATGACTAGGATAATCTATGATATTGACAAAGTAATTATTAAAGATGTTTGAAATAATTTCGCTATTTGAAACTGTATTGCGATTATATTTGAGAGTAAAAGATTTATTGGCAGTGGGAGAAGGTTTGATTTTATTAATTTCTTTTATTTATTTCTAAGTATTTTTTATGTTAAAATTGTTGTTAAAAAAGTTTATGTAGTATGATTTAGAAAATATTTTGGTACGTTACTAATTTTGTTTCTATATTCTAGTTTATCCATTCAAGTTTATTAAAAATTAATTTTTTGATGTTAAATTAATTTGTTTTTGTCTATTTTTTATTTTTATTTTAGATATTTTTTATATCCAAGCTTTTGGCTTGAAAAGATGTTATCAATGAGTCTTAGATGTAGCAGTTATATGTGTTTGTTGAATTTGATGGATGTTACTATATAAAACCAATGATAAAATTTCTAATAGGGGATTGTTGATTTCAATGAAAATAGATTTCAGGTATACAGATATGTATTAGTGTTAAGTATTGGTTGTCATATTAATCAAGTTAAAATGAGTAAGCAAATATTAAATTAAGAAAAAGTTTTGAAAAGTTTTCTATAAATTTTTTTTATTGACTTTAAAAATATTTAAATACTTGATGGGAAATGTACTTAAATCATTAGAATATAAATCATATCAAACTCCAAAGCCATTGATGGAGAAAATAAAGTAGTTTGTTGCTCATAAAGCTATATAAACTTTTAAACCAAAACTTGTGCATTATTAAAAGCTAACAGTCTGTAATACAGTTCATGTTTGGTCACCATTTATATACTTATAATTTATATAGTTGTTTTATTTCAATAATTTTTAGTAAGTGATAAAAATCTTTGCTTTGAACTAGGATTAATTTTCAATACTTTATAATTTTTTATTGAAAAATAGTAAATTTTTTATAAAAAACAGGAAGGGGTTTATTAATTTTTTATGAACTTAATAATTCTATCTGCAGCTTATTAGGACCTTTGCCCCATTTTGTTAGTTTCGAAAAAAATAAGTTCGATAATGTAAAACTTTTTGCCTTTAAGAGAGGAAATCTCTTATCTCTATTTGGCTTAACTAATTACATAAACACTTTTTTTTTAAATTTGCTTTTATACTAAATCTTTAAGAAAATCATTGAAATGTGAGCAAGAATGTAACAAATACTTAAATATGCGCAAAATAATCAAGTAATTTATAAAGTGTGAACAAGCATGTTATGCAAATGATAAAATATTACAAAATAATCAAGCTGGAGCAATTTGTAAAGAAAATGGAGAAAACAAAATTGCCTAATATAACACTTTTTTGTATGCAATTATGTATGCAAATGTATGGGGTTTTTTTTTATTTGCACTTTTTAGTTTTTTTTTTTTTTTTTTTTCTTGAAATTGTGGAAGAAAATTTTAATATAAAAAAAAATTAAAAAAAAAAAAAATTTGAAATAAAAAAAATAAAATAAGAAATAATAAAAAAAAGTATATATTTTTAAAAACTTATTTAATAAGTTTATAAAAAATATATTCAAATCTCCAATATAGTTGTTTTTGGTTTTAATAATTATTTTAGTTTAAAAGTAATTTTGGTTTAGTAGTCATTTTGGTGTAATAGTTACTTTAGTTTGTTATTTATTTTGGTGTAATAATTCATAGTTACATAAAAAGATTAAACCTTAATGCTTTTTAGTCATAAAGTAATTAGTGCAATTAAATTTATATTCAAGTTAATATTTGATTAGTTTTTTGTTATTTTTTTTTTAGTAAGAAAAATATGAATAGAAAGAAAAAAGTTTTTATTTAAACATAAAAAAAAATAAAATTACATAAAGTAATTTTTTTTTTTCTTATAAAAAAGCAATAAAACAGGAATGTAGTAAAAAAAACAAAAAACTGAAAGGAATTTTTACTAAATGATTAATTGTTAATTTATTTTAATTGCCAAGAAACCAATGGTTATTTTAAAAACTAATTGCTGGCAGGAAATACATTATTTGTAAATATTATAGATGAACTTTTTTTCTTTTTATTCTCAAGTTATTTTATAGTTGTAAAAAATGGCAACTTTGTTTACAAATGGTAATTTCTTTTGAATCATTTTTTTTTTTTTTGAGTTTTACATTTTTGTTTTGCTATTTATTATGTACTTAGCATGCTTTTCTTTTAAACAGTTTAAATTATTATGCCTAAAATATTTGTTTCTATTTGATTTTAAATTGTTAATTTTTCAAGTTTTTATTTTTACTTTAATTTTACTTAAAAAATTGTTAAAATTTTAATTAAATTAAATTAATTCTATTTTTATTATACATGCATTAAACTTTTTGATAAAAGTTTGTCTGGTTTGATTTAGTTTTTTGTTATTCTTTTGAATTCAATTCATAGTCAGTTGTTTTTTTTTAAATTCTTATTTAATTTGCTAATTATTATTTGTTTAAGTAATGATAATTAATTAAATTATTATATTATTAACAAAATTGTTATAATATTAACTAGTAATAAATAAATATAATAAATAAATAATAAAATAAATCTATAAATAATAATTATCATAAATAATAACTAATAATATTTATTAAATAAAATTATTGATATTTTTAACAAAATTTAAAATCTAGTGTGATATAACATTTAGTTCAGAATGTCAAACAATTTTTAAAGTGTTAGTTCAAAAGAGTTAAATCGTTTTTAGAGAAATCGTTTAAATTTAATATTGATGTACTATTAATAATGCATAACTCAGGAAGAGCTGAAGCTCTGTGCTATATTTGCAGAAGTGTTCCTGATCTTTAGTTCCTACTTATTAAAGTTTTGATTTTTACATGATAAAATTTGTATTAAAAAAAAAGCATAAAAAGCTATAATAGAGTTAAGTTAAAAGGATATAATTTATAAGTTTAATTCCATTTTATACAATTTTTAGTTTGCTTTTCCTTCATTCTGGTATTTTTTTTTAATTATCTCCAAGTATGTTCAAGTCAAGGTAATGTTTTAGTCCTTATATTAATCATTTATCAGTGTTTCTTAACTGTTTTTAAATTAAACATTCAAATGTATAGAGTTCTATTATTTTTTTTGTTTTTATATCATTATTTGTGCAACAGTATATATATTTAGTTGTGAGTAAATGCACATCTGCTACATTATGTGCTGATTGCATAATAGTGGGTAGCTATTGTTCGTGGTGCAATGATGATGTAAGTGTGTTTCAATTTGTTTATATTGTTTGTTTATATTGTTTATTAAAAGTATTAATTTTTATTCAAAATTTTTAAATTCATAATAATTAAATCTTTAAGGATTTTTTACAACTTAACCCTTCAAAATACCGCTGCGATACTTTGTCAAATCTTACTCAAAGTGGATGCAAGAATATAACTATTGTTAACTCAGATTTTCAGGTTGGTTATAAATTAGTTTATAAATCTTTATATTGTTGTTATCTGTACTTTTATTGTTTTCTAGTTTTGTTGTAAGTTCTGTGTTAAGTTTGTGTTCAGAATTAAGACGAGTTATGCTTTGTTAAGTGTCTTAAGTATGCTATTAAGTATGTGTGTTAAGTGTCTTTAGAACTTTGTTAATTTGCTGTGTCAAGTAACTTAAGAAGACTTATGCTTTTCAATGATCATCTAACTATATTTAAGAAATTAACTTGGTGTGTATCAAATGTTGGAAAGTGAGAGCCTAAATTAGAATAACTTCTATAATTTATTACTGTAATTGCTTTATTTGTTTAAGCAATAGTAACTTGATATCTTAAAATGTAATATAATGACACGGTTCCCACACCTCCTTAAAAACCTTAAATATCCTTTAAAAATAAAAACCTTAAATGTCCTTAAATAACCTTAAAAAAAATTAAAATTTGACTGCTCTCCTTTTTTTTTTTTTTTTTATTCATCTAGAAAAATTTGAAAGTGAATGGATTATACTTGTTAATAAAGAAGATAATATATAGATTTTTGATAGTTTTCAAACCTATTTTTGTTATTTTATATATATATATATATATATATATATATATATATATATATATATATATATATATATATATATATATATATATATATATATATATATATATATATATATATAAAGTAACAACAGTTTCTCTGTTTATATTTAAAATTTATTGAAAAAAATAAGATTCTCCTTAAATATCCTTACTTTTTCTTTCAAAAAAATGTTGTTAGCGACCAAATCTCCTTATTATTAATATTATTAATATTAGGAAAATATCTCCTTAAATCTCCTTAAAATCCTTAGTTTTAATAGTGGGAACCCTGAATGATTATTATAAAGATAAAATAACTTTTCGTTAACTTTAGATGATTTTACAGTATTCAAACAAAAAAAACCTTTTCTAATTTTAATTTTTTAAAAAAACTTTTCTGTTCTAATTTATATATCTTTTTTTTTTCAATTTGTTTAACTCCCCAAGGCCTAGGTAATACTATTGCATGGAAGCTACTCATTTTGAAATTTATATTTTCTTTATTTAATTTTTTTAGTTTAATCACTGAAGTATGGCATAAAGTAATATTGCATTATTAAATTAAAAAAAGAAATTAAATAGTATTGACTACATTGTTAAATAGTATTGTTAAATTTTAATTAATTTAATTTTTAACATTTTTATAAAACTGTTAAATATTATAAACTAAATTGTTTCAGTGCATTATTTTTAATATAAAAGTGGTGGCAAATAACAGAACAAACAAGTAACACTAGAACTAGTAACAAAACGAACTGCAAGTTTTCATAAAACAAAAGTTTTTGTTAGTTTAAAAAAAAAAATCAAAACTAATTCCGTTAATTTAAAAAAATAAACTTAAAAAATAATTTAAAAATAATAAAAAAATTAAAATGTACTGTTTACTTAAGAGCAGTATTATTTTATTTCAGCTTATTATTTTTTATTTTAGATTACAAAAAATGATGATTTGCAAGATCTCGTCCAAGTTAAGCCTCAAGAAATCGCTGTTCAGTTAAGACCAGGTTTTTAAAAGTTTGAACTAAATGTAAGTTTTGTATATATATTTGTTGCTATTGTTTTTTTTAACTGTTTAAAATCTTATTAATATAGGCCAACCTGTTAAAGTGAAAATAAGCATAAAGCCTGCACCAGACTACCCTGTTGACTTATATTTACTAATGGATGTTTCTAACTCAATGGCTGATGACTTATTGATTTTAAAAAATCTTGGAGTTGTGTTAGGTATGTTTCTTTGGTGTTAAAAAACACTTAAAAAAAATACTAAATACAAAATATTACCAGTAGTAAGGAAATAAAGCAGAGTATAACATCAAATATTGTTTCACAGATATACAAAATACTATACTATAGTATTTTGTATATCTGTGAAACAATATTTGAAGTACTCTGCTTTATTTCCTTACTACTGGTAATATTTTGTATTTAGTATTTTTTACTATATTACTATAGTATAGTATATTTATATATCTACTATAGCCTATATAGATATACATTTGCCAGCTTTTGATACTGATGTAAATCCATGAGGATTTTTTTAAAAAAAAGAAAAAAAAAAATGAAAAAAAAAATTGCTTACTCATGCGGCACTCCCTTGCATATTCCACCTAGGTAGTTGATGTATGAATAGGATGAAATGAATACTTGGGATGATTAAAATTTCTTTAAAAAAACCCTCAGTATTTACATGTGTTCCCTATATTAAAATAACACTGGATTTAAAAAGATTTGAATTAAAAAAGACTTTCAGGGGTTGCTCAAAGCCAAAGAATATTTATAAAAAATTTTTCCTAAAGTTTATCGTGAATATACCAACATGAAGTTAAATTATATAAAATAATAATAATTTGTTTTAGCCTTGTCTATCAAAAATAATAATTTGTTTTAGCCTTGTCTATCAAAAATAATCATTTGTTTTAGCCTCATCTATCAAAAATATTACAAAAAACTACAGATTAGGATTTGGCACATTTGTTGATAAAAATATTATACCATTCATCCAGCCTGAATATCCGTATGTTTTTTTTTTTTTTATAAAAATTGTTTTCCATTTAGTTAATTTCCTCTTTTTAATATTTATTTTAAGAAATTTTCCATGTTAATGAAATTTTTTTTTTTTTTTTTTTTTTTTTTTTTCATTAAGTTAATTTTTTTTTTAATGTTTATTTTAAGAAATTTTCCATGTAATGCTATTAAACTATCAAACTGTCGTGGAGTGTTTTCATATGATCATTTTTTTGACTTCAGCCAGGATGGTACTCAGTTTCAGGTGTGATATATTATAATCATGTTTATTTTTATTTATTTATATTTTCAGAATAAATCATTTCTATATTGAATCTTGAAATATTTACTCTTTATAAGGCTTTTATAAAATTTATGTGTCTGGCTAAACTCTTGGCACTACTTTTTAATTTTTAAATTACATTTATTTTTCAAAAAAAAAAAAAAAAAAAATTATGACAAAAATTGATAATAATACAAACCTAATACTAAAATAGTTATTACTACTACAAACAATATTTCAAAAAATAATTGAAAATACAATCAAACAGAGTGGTCTGGAAGCTAAATTTTTATATGAATTGTTTAGTAGTATTTTAAGTTTTTTTGCACACACAGCCTTTACAATTTCAAGATTTAAGATAATCAAAATTTAGTTACATTTACAATTTTTTTAAATAACATTAAAAGCAATTGTAATTATTTTACTTAATTTTAGATGAATTAAAAAGAAAAAAGAAAATAGTTATAAAATAATGTATTTAATTATTTATAACATATGTTCAACTAAAAGTGCTGAAATTTTGAAAACTTTGGCATTTTCAGATTAATTCAGTTGAATTTTTTCTGTAAATATTTCAATTATTTGTAAACATAAATATTTTTATTCAAAAAATCAAAAAAAAAAATCTAAATTTCTATAATGTGATTTTTGTATTGTTGTTCACTGTTAAAACATAACAAAGTAACCTTTTTTAAGTTGGGTTTAACCTAACAAGAAAGTTTGGTTGCTGAAGGGAAACTAGCGGTTACAATGGTCTGGCTTCGCAATGCTGTTTTAAAATAATTGCAGTAAATATATAAAGTTAAAGTAAAATATTTTAATTAATACAGGCTTTCACAGGAAGAAGTACGATCGCACGTCTTTATATGACCACACATGTACGATTTTTGTTTTGCTGCTTTGGCCACGGCTTTTTGACAGTTGATAATTTTCGCGCATTTTCAAAATGGCGCTTTAAAACGAAAGTAAATAAATAAAAATGAAAACAAAAACCATAAACTGAAAAAAGAAAATAAATCTTAACCTAAGTGAAGATAAACAAACGTAAAAAAGTAAGCTATAAACAAAATTTTTATCTTTTAAATTCAAAAGCGTTTCGCTTAATAGACTTGAATATTGATCAAATTTAATTTTTCCAATTTGGAATTTGAAAACTGATTTATAAATGAAATTTTTGATAATTTTGTTGCAGGCTAGTGTGTGGTTTATAGCACACCATTTTATGTAAAAGTTCAATGCCGTTTGATATAAACTACTTACTAAAATTTAAGATTTATTAGTTCTTTTTTTTTACTGTTTTTGTTTTCTTATTTATAGGATGCCTGTTATTTACATCAACGAATCTTGATACAAGTGAGGGAATAAAAGAGATTATATGCACAAAAAATTTAAACAAAAATAAAACATCTACGACATGCATTCTATTTGAGAATTATATACATCAATATAAAAAAAGAACAATTTTTAAATTATGTCTACAAAAATGTTTTACAAAAATTGTACGATATTTCTTAACACAGCAAGAAAGCTAATTAATTTTTATCTTTTTTTATGATATATTTGTAAACAAATTTTTTTCTAAATTAATAAAAAGTTACTAAAATCAATAAAGAAATCTAAATTATACGGCTTCATTCTTTATCATCAGTTAGATTAATCGTCTTTTTCGCAAAAATCTTCTTGTTCATTGGAATCCCATGATTGCATTTTAATGGGTTCACTATTCTCATTGGACCCATCGTCATTTGCGGTACATTCTTCTTCTGAACACAATAATTCACTATCTGATGAACTGTTGTCGCTTTCAACTGTCTCAATGTCAGAATTATTGATATTTTTTTGGTTTTCGGCATTGTGAATTTCTGTTTTGGATTGAAATTTAACAGTTCTACATTATTCAAAATATTTATTTACAGCATGTTGCAATATCACATTTCGATCTTTATCAGACCATACAAGGTTATTCCCAACAATGATCATCCATTCTTCCATGGTACTATGGAAGAATGCATGGTTAACAACATTAGTTCCAATTATAAATGCTTTAGTATTTTTTTAGTGGACCCAAATATGGAAAGTTGGCTGTGGTTAATATTTTAATGTTAAGCGCATAATTTGCACCATATTTTGACAACAGTGTCAACACAATTAACATTTTCAACTTCATAACCAAGGAGATCATATTTCATGAAAAAACAGTTTTTAATGATTTTGTTATTGGTTTTGTACTCATTCTTTCTCTATCACATGTAACTCTACTCTGATTTTTGCATTTAATGATTGCCTTTTATTACATAAAAGGGGGAACAAAGTTTGTTTGGCAATTTTGTTATTACAGAAGAAATTAAATAAAAGAACCTTGTCGTTTCTTTTAAAAAGATGCATGCATGTATAAAGATGTTTCTTTTTTACTATTATTTTTTTATTTTACATTAAAAATTAGTTTAAAAAATCTATTATGGTAAAAACATATTCAAAAGTTAACTTGTCAAAAAAGATTTCAGAAATTATGGAAATTTACTAGAGTTTATTCTCCAAATGTTTTGCTTTTGGCAAAATATTTCCAAATTGCATGCCTGCCTGTTTTCTAGATATTTTGCAGCCCTATGCACAGACCCTGCTTCTGATATTTGGCAGTCCTAGGCGTAGTTTATGGTATAGTTAGCAATGATTCATTGCATAATATTATTTTTAAACCCATATTTCATCCACTACATTTTATAAAAAATATTTTTTTTTTATGTTTTTAAAATATGATTTAACTTATTAAACGCTTTAGATTTTACAACTTTGAATTGAATAAAAAAATAGTTCTTTCTTTATATTGGCATATATGATTTTCAAATAGATTGGGTGCTGTAGATGTTTCATTTTCGTTAATTTTTTGTACATTTAATCTCTTTTGTTCCCTCACTTGTATCAAGATTCTTTGATGTAAATAACAAGCATCCTATAAATAAGAAAAAAAAAAAAAAACAGTAAAAAAAAAAGAACTGATAAATCTTAAATTTTAGTAAGTAGTTTATATCAAACAGCATTGAATTTTTACATAAAATGGTGTGCTATAAACCACACACTAGCCTGCAACAAAATTATCAAAAATTTAATTTATAAATCTGTTTGGAAATTCCAAATTGGAAAAATTAAATTTGATCAATATTCAAGTCTATTAAGCGAAACCCTTTTGAGTTTAAAAGATAAAAATTTTGTTTATAGCTTACTTTTTTTTGCTTGTTTATTTTCACTTAAAAAAAAATTATTACATATATATTCCGTTAAGAAAAAAATTACACGTGCCTGGTCATATAAAGGCGTGCAATCAAACGTCTTTCTGTGAAAACCTGTAATATATTATTACTATTATTATTATTATATTTATTTAAGTATTATTTTATAATAATGACACTATTAAATTAGCATAATATTTATGTTATTATATTATAGTATACTATTGTACTATTATATTATTATATAATAGTAATACTATTATATTATTATATAATATTAATACTATTATATTATTATATAATAATATTGTTATAATATATATTGTCATATATATTATAACGTTGATTTATGTATGATGAAAAACCAGCTGATGCTTGTTTTTTTGCTGCAAAAATCCTTTTAGTATCTTTCATAACTTTAAATTTTTAGTTGATGTATGTACTGAAAGCTACAGATGGCTATTTCAGTATTACGTCATTTAAATGAAAAACTGTTCTTCTTTTGATTGAATCTGATTGCTGAATCAAGTTGTTATTTAAAAAAAAATTATTTTAGAAATAATAGATTAAAAAAGTATCAAGATTTTTTTTTTTTTATCATATTTTGTCTGGAACTGTGGCAATTTTGTATTATAAAAGCCTGAGCTGTTTATTAAGAAAAATTTATTTATAAAACATTAAATTATGTTTTTATTAATTAAATTAATTTTAACCATTAAAATTTTTAAATAAAAAAAGGATTTATCAAATGAATGAGAGTGGGTTTTTGTGTATTTGTTAAAATAAAACATGGTATCATACATCCTTATCAGATTTTTTTAATGTTTTAAAAATTTAATTTTGAAAAATTAAGTTACTCTTGCAAGTTACCAAATATCATATATTAAATCCATTGCAAAATTAGCATTTGCTAAGGTTACATCTCTTTATCGTTTTCGACACTTTCTACTCCGGATTCTATTCTTTATCTATAAATCTCAAATCTGTCCTTGTATATAATATTGTTGCCATATCTGGGGCGGATCTTCAAATGATGTCCTTTCTCTTTTAAACAAAGTGCAAAAATGCATTGTAAACATAGTTGAACCTGCTCTTGCAGTCAACCTCCAACCATTATCACATCGTTATAATGTTCTCTTTTTTACAAATATTATAATAGGCACTGCTCTAAAGAGCTAGCGTCTCTTGTGCTATCTACTAAAATTCATTCTTGTGTTTCTTGTCATTCGATTAAGTCTTTTCCTTTTACATGACTGTTCCTTAGTGCTCCAAAAACTCTTACTTGTCAATTGTTATCTTGCTCTATAAACTTCATCTTTTCTCTTCCAGTAACTTCTAAACTCTAGTAGTGGTTGCTTGCAGCCTTGTTGGAAGCAACCACAATTAGAAGTAAAGTAACTAAAAAAAATCTATCAGTTATTACTGTAAACATCGCGGCAGTAGAATGAGGAGATCAAAGTCCATATTGATGATTAGAAAGTAAGTTATTAGGTTCAAGATGCGAGATTAAGTGTTTGTTAATGAAAGACTCTAAAACCTTGCTTATGATAGTAAGACTAATGGGATGGTAGTTAATTAAGTCAGCTTGCTTTCCAGAATTTTTGAAAACAGGGATAACAGATGCCGCTAGACTCTGATAAGCACTTGTTAATTAGTTTTAAAATTACAGACGACAGCTTCAACTTCAAGTCTATAACAGGTATGTTGCCTGGACCACAAGCTTAAAAAGAATCTAAGCAGGAAATCACTTTAGATACAGAAGCTGGAGTGATACGAAGGTCAAGCAATGAATTGTTTGTTGGTTATATCAGGTAGAACGCTACTAATGGAATCAAGTGATGATATTGATAAGAAGATCTTTAATTTCACCTCACATAAAGACAATTCAGCATTGTCTTTATGTGAGGTGACTAAATCTCGACCATACAAAAGAGTTAAAATAACAAAACAAAAATTCATTAAAATATTCACTTTATCATAAAAAATGCATGTCTATATAAATAAAAAAGCTTATATATAATATTCTTTGGTAATTCTAATAAAATTTTTATTTTAATTAATCATTAGAAGTAGTTTCTTAATTTAAAAGTGTTTGCATAATATAAAAACTTTAGAAAAAATCAACAAATCATAGTTTATAACGAAATGAAAAAAATTTTAGCTTAGCGTAAATAGCATAACCCTACGCAAAGTTGCTATATGCGTTGTGAAATGTATGTGAAATATGTGTTGCTATATGTGTACGTTATATAACACTTCATCAAAAAGTCTATATTTAAGCATATTTATATAGGCTGTTTTTTTCTCAATATTTTCTAGAATTCTGTTGCAGCTCAAAACATTTCTGGCACCTTAAATGTACCACAGGGTCTTTTTGATGCTTTGATGCAAACAACTGTTTGTGAACAGGTAAAATTAAATTCTTAAATAAATAAAGTTAAATGTTTCTTTTGATGATAATGCTGATGATTTTCTTTTGATGATGATGTTGATGATCATAACCATGTTGATAATAATGTTGTTGATCCATGGTAATGATGATAACGTTGTTAATCCATGGTAATGATGATAACGTTGTTGATCCATGGTAATGATGATAATATTGATGATCATATTTATGTTAATATTAACATTGTTGAATCATGGTATATATGATAATGTTGAATATCATAATGAGAAGTTACTTATCATGATGATGATGACCATGATAATAAAGGTTGCAGTGACACATTCATAAGTTGTTTGAAGACACTGGTATAAGTATTTTCTGCGTATATATATTTTGTATTTAGAAAATTACCAGCTATTTAAGATTCGCCGTCTTGGTACAGCTATTCTGATTTTATTTGGAAGCCAAGAATTTCCAGTTATGCTTCTGGGCATAATTTATATTTAGTAAATAAAAAATTAAAACATTTTTTATCTGTAGTGGTTACACTAATAAATTTTGAGTTGTTACTATTTCAAAAAAGACAAAGAATACATGATTTTTTAGTTATTTTTATCATGCATGTTGTTTATTAATTTATCAAATTCAATTACATAAATTATGTAAGTTTATTATTTTAAAACCTCAATGTTTTTTTAGTTTTATTTCTAGAACTTTTTTTTAATAAAAAAAGTGCCAGGCTAAACCAAAATCCTTAGTGGATTTTACGTAAACTCCGCTGCACATATCCCTACTTAAAAGATGTGTGTACACTCTGCTGCACCTACATTTATATTAGTCTATGTATGTATACCTGCTGCTATATAATACTATGGCTATATAAGTTGATTTGTGTACTCTTTGACCTACATCAATGGGTTGCAAAAAAAGTTTTTTAATATAAATATGTTAAATATTTAATCTATCTACAAGTTTCTAACATTATATTGTTAGTATTAACAGTTAGGCTAATCAAACTATAGATAAAGATCTGTCAATTTGTAGGAACTCAATTGGAGAGACAAAAATACTTGCAGAAAAATTATTGTCATAGTAACAGATGCTGCACCTAAAGTTGGAGGGGATGGCAAGGTAAATAATAAATAGCTATGAACTATCAATTAACGAGCTGTTATAATATCATATATATGTATAAAATTTTATATTGTAAATTACATATATGATATAAAATAAGCTGTTATAACATAAATATATATATATATATATATATATATATATATATATATATATATATATATATATATATATATATATATACAGGCTTGGTCGGAAAGCGGGAGCAATCGCTCTCGAATACTGACCACGGAAATTATATTTAGTTGAAAAAACTGGCCAGGTTTTTTAGTAGTTTTGAGAACATTTAAGTTTATGTACGAAACAAAAAATTTTTGTTTTACGGACATACATGGAAACATAATAAACTTGAATGTTCTCAAAACATCTTTGTGCGAAAGAATAAAAAAATATTCGCGAACACTAAAAACCCGCTAAATTAACGAAGAAACTAATTCTATTAGTTCAAAAATTACTCTGACTTAGCAAAATAAAGTTTTAGAGTATCCTGTTGAAATGTTTTAGAAATTGTCATATTCACGATTTGTTACGTTTTGAGATTTCTAGTTTGCTTGTTTTAAAAATTTATATTGTTTGTTTACAAAAATAAATATTTTAAATATATATTAAATTGTCAAAATTTCAAAAGTTTATTATAAATTATAGATTTTATTAGTATATTCTTATTTTTTTATTTAAAAAGTATGTATTCTTTATGTAAATGTAATTTTGTGTATCTGTTTTTTATCGTAATGTATCTTTTAAAGCAATTTTTATGATTTAAACAAAGACTTACAAAAATAATTGCGTTTTCAATGAAGTTATAATCGTTATATTTAATAAAACTAATTATGTAACAAACATATAAGAAGTTTCTGTTTACTAAACACAAACAACGCATTCAAAGTAACTCACGGATGAACAAGCACCGCGTCTGAGGTCACGACAGAACACAAATATATATATAGCAAATAATTAAATATAAAGAAAAGTTTCTATATATTGGTTTACCAACTCTAATTATTTTCGCTTAAGTTGCCATCCTTGAAACTCGTTATACTTTTTTCTGCTTTAAATACTAATTAAAATTAAAAAGCCCACTCACTAAACATCAGCGATATTGTGAAGCAGTTTCGCTTCCTCGTCATAAAGTATTTTTAACTTTTTTAGTTGATTTCTATCTTGTTAATTTAATTTCTATAGTAATTCAATGATTTAATTATTTCATTTGTTTATCTTACTAAGAAGAATTGCTTCAAATATGTTAAACTTTTCAAACTACGCGAAACATAAAATAGGTATTAAAAAAATTAACTTTTTTATTTATAAAATAATTTAGCTTAAATAAAACTAAAACTTGCAAACTTTGCTAAATAAAGAGCATTTGTTTCTTTTTTAAACAGTCGCAAGTTGTTACTTTATATAAAAAACATCGCTTAATTTTATAAAAAAAATTACAAAAGAGCGATGTTTTGAAAATATTTGTTCTAAACGTAATTTATTTAGCTTTAAGTTTTTTCGCGTCTAAAGATATTTTATTTGCCTAATTTTTTTTTTTTTTTTTTTTGTAATTGTTTCTCATCGGTCCAATTAATCTTTTGCGCTTTTTTTTGCTTTTTAAAATGTTCTCAAAACGACTAAAAAGTCTGGCCAGCTTTTCGTAACTAAATATTATTTACGTGGTCAGCAATCGAGAGCAATCACTCCCGCTTCCCGACCAAGCCTGTATATATATATATATATATATATATATATATATATATATATATATATATATATATATATATATATATATATATATATATATATATATATATATATATATATATCAAGTTATATATATATATATATATCAAGTTAAAAAAGTTGTGTATGAAATATGGTCTATCTGTATTCATTTTTCTTATTGTAGCTTTTCCTTGTTGAAAATCATTATTATTAAAAGAATAATTAAACTAAAATAAATTTTTTTGTTTATTTATAAAAATTGCTCTGTAAATTTCTTTAATTTTTTTTTTTTTTACTTTATGACTAAAAAAAAAAAAAAAATTGTTATATAAAAATTTTATGCATTTACAATATTGTATATATTGTATAAACAATATACAATATTTGTATAAGATTTAAAAATTTTTATTGTTTATAAATTTGTAAATTTACATTTGTTTTAAAATTAAATTTGATTACAATGTAGTACTCTAAAATACACAATTTATCTTCAAAAAGTATAAATAATGAAGCTGAGTTAATCTATATTTATGACGTTTTGTAAGCACAACACTTTTTTTATTACACAGCAAATTCTTTTAACAAATTCTATAACAGAAATCATATTTTCAATCCATTGCAAAGTTAGCATTTGCTAATGTTGTCTTTCTATACTGTGCTTGTTATTCTATTTTCTCCTGTGCCACTCCTGATTCTGTTCTTTACCTATATATATATAAATCCCTTATCTGTTTTTGTATAAAATGCTGTTGTCGTATTAAGGCTAGTTAATTATGTTATTTTCTTTTTAGACAAGGTTCTAACTAAAGCACATTTTAAATGTAGTTGGACCTGCTTTAGCTGTCAAGCTTAAGCCATTGTCCCATTCTTTTAAGATTGTATCCTTTTCTATTTTCTACAAATACTACTACAATTGCTGTTCAAGCAAGCTATCACTCTTTGTTCCACCAATTAAAACTCAATCTTGTGTGACTCGTCATTAAAAAAAATTGCATTCTGTTTGTTTCTTTGTTCTCAAAAAACTTTTATTTATCTTGTTTTTTTTCTTGAATATTACTGTTATTGAGTTTTCTCCAGTGTATCTTGTTTTCCTAACTTATACAATTTAATGTTTTTAAAGTTTAAAATAATGGTTGCTAGCAGATTTGTTGGAAGTAAATTCGTTAAGAAAGAAAATAGAAATAAAATAAAAAAACCAAGATTTTATAATCTATTCTTTTATAATCTATATCTGTTTTTCTTTTACATTTTATAACAGCTCTTATGTGTATGTCTGAAAAACTAAACTTTTTTTAAAATAGTTTATTTTTTTTTGTTGGTTTCATTCTATTGACTCAGTCTTTATTTATTTACTAAAGCAATTTGCAAAAAAAGCAATTTAATTACTAAAGTAATTAAATCTAGTTTGTTGGCTCAGTCTAGTTGATTCAGTCTTCATTTATTTACTAAAGCAATACAATATTTTAGCACATATAAAAAACAAAATCTGCATAAAAAAAGATTAGTGGCAAAATTTTGTTTTGCAAAAACTTACATGTTTTATAACTACTGAATAAAATAGCTTTTGGTAAAAGTAAATGTTTTAAAAAGCATAGAAATATCTATTGATAATTCTTAGGTCATCAAATAAAATGTCATCAAATAAAAAATAAATGGTCAAATAAAAAATGTAATCTTTCATTAATTAATAGATTGGTGGTATATGGAAAGTGAATGATGCAAAATGCCATATGACAAAGGCAGCAAGTAGCAGTCAGTCAATCTTGCTAGAATATTCTGCATATGATATCTATGTAAGATTTTTTTATTTTTTATTTTTTATTTTAATATGATAAACGAATTATACATCACTTACTGTTATATATTGATATTAACATTTTGAATGGACTTTAAATCTGGTGATTTTTTAAGGCAAGTATGTTGACATAAAGGACAAAACGACAATAGATGTAAAGTATTATGTTTAAGCAACCTGGATATTTTAAGTTCAGTTTATGGCAATGTTTACTTTTTTAGTTCAAGATTGTTGATGGTAGTAAATTATGAGTTTCAAATATATTAACATTACCCTATTAAAATTATATTTTTGTTTCTAATAATATGTCAATAGGATTACAATATTTTTGTTTATTGCTAGAAATTTTATTTAGACTTTTTCAATTCTACAAAGAAAAATCAAAAGTTAAAGACAGTTTTCTTTTATTATTATAAATGTTAAACAAGTAAAATGTTGCAAAACCAGGAACAATGAGTTAGTTTTAAGAAAAAATTCAGTTAGATTGATGACATTACATTAAAAATAGTTCCAGTTTGTAAGAAAACTTTTATGTCAATAACTTGTGTTGGAAAAAAAAGATTGCAAAATATTTTGTATTACTTTTATAAAAATGAGGGTATGCAACCAGATCTTCATAAAAAACTATAAACAATATGAAAAAGTATCAAAACCTCAATAGTAAATAATAAATCTCAATAATAAATAGATTTTATTATTATAACTCAAAGGGTGCTTCATATTGTGGCAGAGAAAAAAGTGTCAGATTATATCTTCCACCTGAACTAAATATTGTGAAATTATGGAAGAAATGGAAACTTTTTAAAAATCAAAGTAATATTTCATCGCTTTCAAAATTAAAAAAATTTTTACCAAAAGTTTAATATTGGCTTAGGAAATCCAAGAACAAATATCTGTTCTTTTAGCAAAATAAAAAAAGGTTTGATTAAAAAAAAAATTAACATAAAAGTAAAGGCAGGTGAATATGCTATATATCGTTTTCACTTATTAAGGGCAAATAAGTTTTATTCTCTTATAAAAGAAAACTTTATTAAAGTATACTTCGATATTTTTTTTTTAATGTAAATTCACAGAATGTTAGCCAGCATAAATATCCCCAATATTACATGAACGATGTAAAAAATATATTTTTGGCTAACAGCCTGATTCACCTCCCTAAGGCCGAGAAGGCCACTACAGACAAGGAGGCTGCTTAATTGTGGTTATAACCCACTCTCAAATCTATAATTACAAAACACGAATCTTGGCAAACAAGATTGCTGCCCGGAGAAACAAGTTGAGCGCGGTACTACAAGGGATGTGGTCAGGATCAAACATGAAACCTCTTGCTTATGAAGCAAACGCTCTACCACTACCACATTTACAGCAAAATCAACCAATACTCAAATTAAGTGTGAGGTATTTTCTCTTGACAAATGGCTTTACAATTTACCATTTCTTTGACATGATGAAAAAGCTCAAAATAAAGGAAACATTTCTTTACACATAGTTGGAAACTATGTGTAAAGAAATGTAATTTATTTATATTTTTATATAGTTTATTAAATTTAATGACATCACTTTGAGTCAGGTTGCAGGTTTTCATAACTCTGGTTTCAAGTATTTTATAATTATAATTTTAATTAGTGTATATTTTCAAGTATATTCATAATTTGACTTTCATGATAGACTTATAGTTATATATAAAATAAACATTTGTTTAATTTATATTAAAGTTTTTTTGTCATGTAAAAGGAATTTATTTCTTGAATTTTTATGCAATTAGGATTACCCATCCGTATTTCAGTTGAACCAAAAGTTAAAAGAGTATCAAGTTGTGCCAATTATTGCTGTAACTTCTGATGTTATGAGTCAATATCAAGTTAGTACAGTTTTTTTAATTTTCTACTGTTTATATTGTGTTTATTAAAAAACTTTGTAAGTTTAAATCTTGGTAGGTAAGGCTAGTTAGCTCTGTATGCAAATATATATATTTTTTTTTTACAACTTGACTATGATTGTTTAGATGTTTTGACTATTTAAACATTTTAGAAACTGAAAAAAGAAACGCTAAGATGGGAAGACTTAATTTAACTTATTCATAATTTAAAGTAACTTAAAAAATATCTTTAAAAGATTTTTATAAAGACTTGGAAAAATAGTTTCAAAGGTTTAAATTTATTATTAAAAAAAGATGAAATGTGCATAAATAATTTAATATAACATTTTTTGTTAATTTACACAAAATGTGTTTATTTTAAACAAGTTTTTTGTTTTATTCAAAGCCTGCGCCTAAAATAAAAACTTTAGAAAAGATCAAGAAAAGAACAAATTTTAAAAAACTTTAAAAAAGAACAATTTTTTTTAAATTGCATTTAAACTGTTAAAACATCAAAACAGCTGTGGTCAGATTGAAAAGAAAAAAATTATATAAGCATGGTCAGTAACAGTGTGCGATCGCACTCCATTCCTGTTCAAGCCTGCTGTGATTTAAAATTTCTAGATGAGCAGGAAAGACCAACTCGTGATAAGTGAAGGAAATATTTTTAAACATTTAATATAATCTTCTTAGTACTAGTTTCTTAATAAAAATATTCAGTTTATTGATTTCATAAAACATGTTAATGCTTATGGACATGTGAAGAAGGAGACATGTTACTGAGTTAAAATAAGATTTAATTTGAATCAGGTGACAATAAAAACCAATTATATTATATAGTATGAAAACAACAAATAAAATTTATGAGATGTAATAAAAAAAATAATACAAGATAAAGTTTATATTTCACTGCATAAATTGTTTATTTGATAAAAATTGTGGAGGCGCTGATAAGAATAAGAAATATTTTTGTAGAGTTAAGAAATACTTGGGTAGTATTTAGATTTAATGATATGATGAATTAAAAAAACAAAATTTTAAATACTTTTATTTAATTAAATGTTCAAAACTTTTGCCTTGGACATAGCAGTAACCAAGTGGTAAGCTCAAATTATTCTTGCTAGACGATTGTTTTCAGGGATTCTCCAGCATCTCACAACAAATTTAGGGGTTTGTGGTCAATTTGCCTCTAAGTAGATCCTAGACTCATTGATTGTAAAAATGTAACACAGCTGTAATATACTTAAACTTGAGAATTGGTTTTATTCTAGAATAAGTGTTTGACATGCAGATGCAGTCTATCATTAAATATTTAGCAATTATCAGTCACAGATATGCAAGTGTCTGAACATAAATCAAAACAAAAGATTTATTTTGATTAATTTAATGTTAAGTTCAACAGATTTGATTGCTCGGCTCTCTAGTTTAACTACTTTTAAAAAAGTATTATAAAAAATGTTTTGAAAAGAGTTTATCATGAGGCTTCTGTATGTGAGTTTTTGTAAGCGATTGTTGTGTTTGTTTATGTGTTTGATTGAGTTGAAGACAGGAGAAAAATTTAAAAAGTCAGATAAAAAAAACTTAGTTCATAAAGATGACCAGATGTTATCTTTTTAAACCAGATAAACAAATGACAAAGGTAGGAATAGTGGTAGGAAAAAGGTAGCATGATAGGAATAATAAGTGATTTTGACAGTGAAGTGTGTCTAGAAAGGTATCAATGCTTCAAATAAAGTAGTTTAGTTAAGCATTTCATAAAAAGATAATTTATTGGGTAAAGATAAAAAAACAGAGACTAAATAACTAAAGTTTAGACAATACTTACTAATTTGTGTATCTTAAGGTGGATTTTCACTTACAGGAAATTCTCCGTGGAACAAAAAGGAAAATAAAATCATCCAATCATGTAACAAAAAAAGTTAAGATGCGCAATTTTTATTTTACATGATTGGATGATTTTCTTTTCCTTTCTGTTCCGCAGAAAATTTTCTGTAAGTGGAAATTCGCCTTTACTTTTTCAGTATTAAAAAAGCAACAAAATTGGGAACTTTCTAGCATAGAAATATAGATGTTAAAATAATTACAATGGTTTCAATGCAGTTAAATTGTTTTTTTTTTCTTCTTATTAGTACTACTAATGTTGTTTCATTTTTAGGATATTGCTAATGTATGGAAAGATCTTGGCACAGTTATTGCTGAATTAAAATCAGATTCTTCAAATATTGTGGAACTAATAAAGAACAATTACAATGTATAAATTTATTTCTTAGTATAAATATAATTTTGTTAATTATTAATTTAATAATGTATCGATTTTAATATTTTAATTTTATACTTTAATAATATAATATTTATTTAGTTATTTTCCGACTGTAGATATAAAAGTTACTTTTATACAGTGGCTTTCGAAAATACAAGGTCACTTCAATTTTATGTTGTTATGCTGTTATGATGATCTCTTATGTGATTTTTTAAACAAGTAGTTAAAAAGCTTTTTTAATTTCTGAATTAATCAAATAGCTCTCTTAAAATATACAAAAAAACTATTTTTAACTATTAGTTGATAAGGTTATTTTTTTATGACATTTTCTAGCAATATATTTTTTTCAAAAAGGTTTTAATTAGTGTTAGTTATAGCAAAGTAATAAGTTTCTTTAAAAAAATGGAATTAATTGTTATGTTGCTGCTAAAAACCGCTTTTAAGGGTGACAGAATTAAAAGATGTAAGTTGTGTAAGGAACAACTGCACTGGTCAGTAGAAGATTGGTTTTAAGTTGTTTTTAGTGATAAAAAAAACTTTTGAGTTTAGTTATAAGGTTTATCACAAATCAAAAGTTGTTTTAAAAGATAAGCTTCAGAGAAAATTAAGGTAAGATTTTGTTTGCCAAATGTACAAGGTTGAGGCAGCTCGATTGGTTTATAGGGATGCATTTTTTCATAAGGGAATAGGATTTCAAAATATTAATACAGGAAGAATTAACCAGTATAATTACAATGAGATCTTGGAAAATTTGCTTTTACCTATGGCTAAATAATTTTTTGAAAAGCATACATATTTTCCAACAGGGCAGTGCAACAGCACATAATGCCAACTTGGCAAAAGCTTAGTTCCAAAGGCATATTACACCTCTGCCCTGGCCTGCTTGATCATTAGACCAGAACCGCATTGAAAATATTTAGTCATGGATGGAGAAAATATTACCAAGAAAGAACGTATTAGTAAGTATTGTGCAATTGAAACTTTCACTTAAAAAATTTGGAACTATGCCAAGATGTATTCCAGTTGGCATAAAAGCATGTGATGGTCATGCAAAATACTGAATTAAAACCTGACCTTATATTTTTTTATTTTGTTTTATTAAAGGTTTTTGACTTGATTTTCTTTTTTGACTCAGAATAATGTCCGCAAGAAGTTGTGAAAACTGTGCTCATAAAAAATTTTCTATGAGCACAAAATTTTTTGACTATGTCATCGAAGTAGCTCTTTATACTTCCCAACTTCTTGTAGATTTTTTGTGTCTTATCATGATTTTTTTCAAACTATTTTTATTAACTATTTATAAAAAAACAAAAAACGCAATTGTTTTTATTGATTTAGTGTTTAAGAATAATTTGGTGCGTTGTTTTGATGTATTTATTTAATAATATTACGCTGTTAACTTTTTTTTTTTATTGTTTAAAAATTAAAAGATTATTATAACACAAGAAATTAATTTTTAAAGTTAAAATGTTAACTATTTCAAACTCATGGAAATCCTGTCTATTTTATTGTTATTTAATTTAAGATTAATGATTCTTAATAAAAAACCTATACTCTATACAAAAATGAATTTTAAAAGTTTCAGTTATGAGTATTTATTTTAATTATAAACAAGGTGTAGAATATTACAAACAATAAATCAAATAAAGTTTAATTTATGTTTTTACAAAATTA